AGGACTCTTTAAAGTAGAGACACTACATACTGATATACACCTGAACATCAGCAGGAGAGGACTCTTTAAAGTAGAGACACTACATACTGATACACCTAACATCAGCAGGAGAGGACTCTTTAAATAGAGACACTACATACTGATATACACCTGAACATCAGCAGGAGAGGACTCTTTAAAGTAGAGACACTACATACTGATATACACCTGAACATCAGCAGGAGAGGACTCTTTAAAGTAGAGACACTACATACTGATATCACCTGAATATCAGCAGGAGAGGACTCTTTAAAGTAGAGACACTACATACTGATATAACCTGAACATCAGCAGGAGAGGACTCTTTAAAGTAGAGACACTACATACTGATATACACCTGAACATCAGCAGAGAGGACTCTTTAAAGTAGAGACACTACATACTGATATACACCTGAACATCAGCAGGAGAGGACTCTTTAAAGTAGAGACACTACATACTGATATACACCTGAACATCAGCAGGAGAGGACTCTTTAAAGTAGAGACACTCATACTGATATACACCTGAACATTAGCAGTAGAGGACTCTTTAAAGTAGAGACACTACATACTGATATACACCTGAACATCAGCAGGAGAGGACTCTTTAAAGTAGAGACACTACATACTGATATACACCTGAACATCAGCAGGAGGACTCTTAAAGTAGAGACACTACATACTGATATACACCTGAACATCATCAAGAGGACTCTTTAAAGTAGAGACACTACATACTGATATACACCTGAACATCAGCAGGAGAGGACTCTTTAAAGTAGAGACACTACAATACTGATATACACCTGAACATCAGCAGGAGAGGACTCTTTAAAGTAGAGACACTACATACTGATATACACCTGAACATCAGCAGGAGAGGACTCTTTAAAGTAGAGACCCTACATACTGATATACACCTGAACATCAGCAGGAGAGGACTCTTTAAAGTAGAGACACTACATACTGATATAACCTGAACATCAGCAGGAGAGGACTCTTTAAAATAGAGACACTACATACTGATATACACCTGAACATCAGCAGGAAGGACTCTTTAAAGTAGAGACACTACATACTGATATACACCTGAACATCAGCAGAGAGGACTCTTTAAAGTAGAGACACTACATACTGATATACACCTGAACATCAGCAGGAGAGGACTCTTTAAAGTAGAGACACTACATACTGATATACACCTGAACATCAGCAGGAGAGGACTCTTTAAAGTAGAGACACTACATACTGATATACACCTGAACATCAGCAGGAGAGGACTCTTTAAAGTAGAGACACTACATACTGATATACACCTGAACATCAGCAGAGAGGACTCTTTAAAGTAGAGACACTACATACTGATATACACCTGAACATCAGCAGGAGAGGACTCTTTAAAGTAGAGACACTACATACTGATATACACCTGAACATCAGCAGGAGAGGACTCTTTAAAGTAGAGACACTACTTACTGATATACACCTGAATATCAGCAGGAGAGGACTCTTTAAAGTAGAGACACTACATACTGATACACCTGAACATCAGCAGGAGAGGACTCTTTAAAGTAGAGACACTACTTACTGATATACACCTGAAATCAGCAGAGAGGACTCTTTAAAGTAGAGACACTACATACTGATATACACCTGAACATCAGCAGGAGAGGACTCTTTAAAGTAGAGACACTACATACTGATTACACCTGAACATCAGCAGGAGAGGACTCTTTAAAGTAGAGACACTACATACTGATACACCTGAACATCAGCAGGAGAGGACTCTTTAAAGTAGAGACACTACATACATACTGATACACCTGAACATCAGCAGGAGAGGACTCTTTAAAGTAGAGACACTACTACTGATATACACCTGAACATCAGCAGGAGAGGACTCTTTAAAGTAGAGACACTACATACTGATATACACCTGAACATCAGCAGGAGAGGACTCTTTAAAGTAGAGACACTACATACTGATATACACCTGAACATCAGCAGGAGAGGACTCTTTAAAGTAGAGCACTACATACTGATATACACCTGAACATCAGCAGGAGAGGACTCTTTAAAGTAGAGACACTACATACTGATATACCTGAACATCATCAGGAGAGGACTCTTTAAAGTAGAGACACTACATACTGATATACACCTGAACATCAGCAGGAGAGGACTCTTTAAAGTAGAGACACTACATACTGATATACACCTGAACATCATCAGGAGAGGACTCTTTAAAGTAGAGACACTACATACTGATATACACCTGAACATCAGCAGGAGAGGACTCTTTAAAGTAGAGACACTACATACTGATATACACCTGAACATCAGCAGGAGAGGACTCTTTAAAGTAGAGACACTACATACTGATATACACCTGAACATCAGCAGGAGAGGACTCTTTAAAGTAGACACTACTTACTGATATACACCTGAATATCAGCAGGAGAGGACTCTTTAAAGTAGAGACACTACATACTGATATACACCTGAACATCAGCAGGAGAGGACTCTTTAAAGTAGAGACACTACTTACTGATATACACCTGAATATCAGCAGGAGAGGAACTCTTTAAAGTAGAGACACTACATACTGATATACACCTGAACATCAGCAGGAGAGGACTCTTTAAAGTAGAGACACTACATACTGATATACACCTGAACATCAGCAGGAGAGGACTCTTTAAAGTAGAGACACTACATAATGATATACACCTGGACATCAGCAGGAGAGGACTCTTTAAAGTAGAGACACTACATACTGATATACACCTGAACTCAGCAGGAGAGGACTCTTTAAAGTAGAGACACTACATACTGATATACACCTGGATATCAGCAGGAGAGGACTCTTTAAAGTAGAGACACTACACCTGATATACAACCTGAACATCAGCAGGAGAGGACTCTTTAAAGTAGAGACACTACATACTGATATACACCTGGACATCAGCAGGAGAGGACTCTTTAAAGTAGAGACACTACACACTGATATACACCTGAACAGAATAGAACAGCAGAATAGGCCCCTTTAAACACTATTTATGAAAAAACTAAAGTAATAATCTTGTTTTAACAAATGACTGGACACCAAAGTTATCGAATCACCACAAAACATTAAATATATAACCAGATGTTCAACCAACCAATCAGTCCACAGTCCAGAGTATTTTTAACTAGAACAGAAACGATGCAAAAGGATGAGTACAGTTAAGACACGGTGCATGCACGGTAAATCAGTTGCATCATATGCTATAAAAGCTTCCTCATGTCCTAATATGTACAACCCGATATTATAAGAGATAAGAGATAAAGACACTTCTGTCGGGAGATAATGTCTTTTCTTGGCTTAATGAATGTCAGGCGATTGTGTTCACAAGTCAAAACCATAACGTTTGTATTACTCCTGATAACCTGTGGTTCATTCCACATTCACGCCTCCGCACCTTCTGGGACCGTGCCTTCAGTGCCGCTGCCCCCCCCCCCCCCCTCTGGAACTCCCTCCCTGCAGAAATCCGCAACGCCCCTTCTCTCAACATCTTCACACTGAAAACTCATCTGTTCAACATCGCCTTCCAACATTAACTCACCCCCCCCCACTTCCATTTATGCCCTGTTTCATGTTTCTATGTTTTATGTCTTGTTGTAGTTCTGAGATTTCATGTTTTTCAGGTGGTATTAATCATTCTGTGATTCCCCTCTGCTCACTGTGCAAACTATATCTGGTTTTTACTTAAGTGTTGCCAGTTCTGCACAATCCTGGGAATATTGTGCATATTTTTACACAAAGCTACCTCTCTATCTGCACATAGTTTATTTAATAATCTGAGTATTTTGTCATATTATACTGTGCGTAGTTATGGTAGTAGTGTGTGTGTGTGTGTGTGTGTGTGTGTGTGTGTGTGTGTGTGTGTGTGTGTGTGTGTGTGTGTGTGTGTGTGTGTGTGTGTGTGTGTGTGTGTGTGTGTGTGTGTGTGTGTGTGCAGGGGCGGACTGGCCATCGGGACGTTCGGGACGAATCCCGATGGGCCGGTACTGAAGTGCGCCGGTCGGATAAGTCACTAGCCAACCCCCGTCCCGTCCCGTTGACAATTTACTAGCGGTAATTAGCGGTCGAGAGTCCCGGGCTGATTTGTAGTCCCAGTCCGCCCCTGTGAGTGAGTGTGTGTCTGTGAGTGAGTGTGTGTCTGTGAGTGTGTGTGTGTGTGTTACCCTGTAGTAGGCGAGCTGCAGTCCGATCTGAATCAGAGCGTCCGGACTCACTCGGAGCTTCTTGATTTGTCCCTTTCCGAACTCTCTGAATGGAAACACGTGACAATCCACGTCGTCAGCGAGAGCCTGAGCCACGGCCAGAGAGACGCTCACCTGAGCCTGCACCTGCACACATACAGAGAGAAACACAGGTATTCAGAGACATGGCAGGTAAAATAATGTTTGTTAAAAAAATCTCACTCGTCCCCGGCTTGATCTTCAATCTCAGGATCCATGTATCTGTGATCCTCTCCAGAATGGAAGGAGTCATCACATACAGAGCATCAACTAGTTCCTGAACAGAGTCTTTCACATGCTGATATCCAAGAGAGGGAGTTATAGTCACAAGATGGAGGAGTACCAGTTCTTGTTATCATACATCCTGCTGTCATGTTCAAAACACTGAGTTTTCTGAAAATGTTGTTTTTTTTCTGAAAATCCTGACTTTTTCTTAAAATTCTAACTTTCTCAAAATTATGATTTTTTTCTCAAAATCTCAAAATCACAATTTTTTCTCAAAGTTATGATTTTTTTCTCAAAATTGTGACTTTTCCTAAAAATCAAAAAATTCTGACTTTTCCAAATATACAAAGTTTACTTCAGATTAGCTCCACGTCAGAAATGAGCAAGCTTGATGTCTCTCTCCATAGAGGCTGAATCATGTTAATCACAGAGCTATCATCTGCCTCAAACAGTCCTGATGCTCTTCCAGGTAATCACCAGAGTTGGGTGTAACGCGTTACTGTAATAATATTACTTTTGTCGGTGACGGAGTAGTGTAACGCGCTACTTTTATAAACACTAGGGGTGTAACGGTATCCGTATTCGTCCCGTACCGTCACGGTTCGGACGTCACGGTTCGGCACACACAGTCACACGATGAATACGCATTTTTTTTACGAGTGGGAAAAAAGTGTCATTCAGGGCAGTATCCACTACACTATATATAATCCAGGGGGCGGTATTGCGCCTAAAAGCTGTTTGCCAGCCGCCCTTAAACGACAAATGAAGAACAAGAAGAAACACAACAACACAACGAACAAAATACAAGAAGAAGAAAAGTTAGTTTGGCGATTTCAGATAACACACAGGAGCTAGAACCACCTGCTTCTTTTAAATCAGCTGTGTGGGAACATTTCGGGTTCCCTGTGGACTAAATAACGATGAAGTGCGAGTGGTCGAGGACGGTGTGTCGCCGTTGTTCTACAGTGGTGCGGTATGCTAATGGTAACACACGCCAAACATGCTAAATCATATCAGAAGGCATCACCCAGATTGGCCAATCACCGGAGCCCGGCAAAAGACAACAGCAGTTCAGCAGCTGATCCCCGCTGCTTTTAAGAAGGCAAGAGACATGAGAGCCGAGAGACCAACATAAATAACGGAAGCTTTTGGCATATGTTTTTCAACGACTTGAAACACTTTCTTATTATTTATGATGTCATATTTTCAAGACATTCTTTTAGCTTTACAGCTTGATGAAACCTTTTTGTTTGACATCAGCCATTATAGATAATATGGCCATCTGAGTGTACTGTGTAAGGTTTGTTTTTAACTGTTTAATACAGTTCATTATTCAAAAAATAGTTCTTTTTAAAAAAAAAAACTGAAACTTGCACTACTGTTCAAACATAAATAACAACAAACCTGGAATTATTCATTTGGGACTTTTTTTTTGCTTTTTCTTGTTGTACCGAACCGTACCGAACCGTGACCTCCAAACCGAGGTACGAACCGAACCGTGACTTCTGTGAACCGTTACACCCCTACCCGACACGCATTACTTCGTTACTTACTCAAATCAGTCATAAACAAACCTCAACAAACACCTGCAAAGAACACATGCTAAGGTGAAGCTAACGCACAGCTATTTGTTGTTGTTTATATCACGTAGTCTTTTCTTCTTCTCTGTCTTCCGGTTGTTGCCTGTTTTGAATGACGAATACACACTACCGCCGCCTGCTGGTAAGGAGAGTTATTGCCACTCACGCATGCGCAGTTCGTACGTGCTCGGCTGAAGTCTTTGCGGTGTCTGCACCTGGCTCGCCGATAATAAATTATCATTACACCTGGGTAAAACAGAGTCCATTCTCTTCGGTTCGAAACATAATCTCAGCAAATCCGACGACTTCTCAGTTGCAGTGGGCGACATTATTGTCACAAGTAAGAAGGAAATTACATACCTAGGATCTATTCTTGAGGCAAACCTCTCCTGTGATAAAATGGCATCCAATGTAATAAAAAAGTCAATCAAAGAACTAGATTCCTATACCGGATCTCCTCTCTGGTAAACAAAAACACCCTGAAGACTGGCAGGAGCACTCATTCAAGGGTACTATGACTATGCTTGCACGTCATGGTACCATAGCACCTCCAAGGCGCTACAAATAAAACCTCAAACATCGCAAAATAAACTGGTCAGACTACTGCTTGACCTTTCATCTAGAACCCACCTCACCTCTGCCCACTTTGACAACCTAGGATGGCTTAGAGTAGACGACAGAGTACAGCTACTTGCAATGGGCCTGGTCTACAAGATCCACTACACCTCTATGGTACCCATGTACCAGGGTTTCCGCTAGGATTTTTTCTTGCCGGTCAAATGTCCGGGCAGAATTTATTTTACCGGACACATTTGAAAATTACCGGTCATATTTCAATAATAATAATAAGAGTTGTGTAGCAGAGTTTCCGTTAGCAGGTAATTACCGGACTATGAGCAGATATGCTGATGTTTAAAACTCAGTTCACGGGGCTCGTTTTTATATTGCTTCAGTTTATAATCGTAACAGATCGAAAAATTCAGATTCATTTTTCAATAAATTATTCCACAAACAACATAATTATTACATTCAAACAAACTACTTGTAGTAGATAACGTACATTATTCAAAAGTTTACATTAACTTTGAATAATAACACGGGAGAAACGGATGCTCTCTTTTCCCCTCTCCCTCCCTCTCTCTCTGACAGCCCGTCAGTTTCTCCTGCAGCTCGCTAAACAGAGGCGGGGCTTCAGGTGATTATGCAGAGCTGCGTGTCTCCATCAGACTCAGCAGCTGATCTGATCTCTCTCTCGCGTCCGGTTACACTTCACTCGCGTTTATGTCCATATCGATCAGATCCAGCTCTCCTGATCGGCCTTTATAGAGAGCACCGATCAAACTATTAAGAGTGAATATCGGCCGATAATGACCGGCGGCCGATCTATCGGAGCCTCCCTAATTATTACCAGACATTTTGACCGGCAGGTTTTGAATTTACCGGTTTTTAATAAATGTTACCAGCTAAAAACCGGTAATTACCGGCTAACGGAAACCCTGCCATGTACATGTCAAAACTCTTCCCAAAGGTCAAGGAATACCATGATCATAACACCAGAGGGAGCTCCACAAATCATGTGAAACCCAGATTTGGCACAAAAAAGGGGGAATACACGTTTCGCAATGATGCCACATCAAGGTGGAACGCTCTTCCCACAACTGTAAAGGAAAGTAAAACTATACTTACCTTCAAACCTCTCTTAAAGAGCACCTTCGGGGGAGAGCATTGCAAAACTGGCCCCGGTAATGGTACAAATCTCAACCTGTCGTACAATGGACAGCTTCCCCCCCCCCATCTATGTATATACTCGCATTTTAGACTCTGTTACTAACTGTATATCTGTAGACTTGGTATGTCTTAAATGTCCGGTTAGGATGTATTAGAACGAAATCTAAAATGTAAATTGTAAATAAGCCATCTGTATGTCTTATATGTCTTAAATGACATGATGAATTGGAAATGGGGGACCCTGATGTAAACAAGACGAAAGTCTTTCTCTGGTCTGCATCCCCTTAACAATTGTATGTTTTGAGCTGTGCTGTACTGTACCCAATATACAAGCTGTTAATACACTTTTCAATCAATCAATCTGGTTCCAGTGCAACACATGGCCAACACGCAGGAGAACACGCCGACGCAACAGCGTGAGCAGAGAGAGACAGATATCAGGAGACAGAGGACAGCCACGGTCAGATAGGAGAACATTCAGGATCTGGATCAGTCTGATGCGACAATGGAAACTGAACTAAAAAGAACATTTGAAACTTTAGCAGTCTGCGTGATCTGCCTGCAGGGAGGGGCGGGCCGGCCCTGCGAGTAAAGTAACGAGTAAAGTACTTTATGTAGAGAGTAACGAAGTAGTGTAATATATTACTTTTTTTTAAAGTAATATATGTAATATATTACTTTTTTTTAGTAACGACCCCATCTCTGGTAATCACACATCCTGTCATGTTCACAGCTGCAGTTGGGATGCCTTTGTGATCAGGCTGCTCTCATGTTGGAGGAGGACACTCAGGATTTCCCCAACAATGTTGTTTTTGGTCTGAAGTCGAGTCCTTACAGGCTGGAGACAAGATGCGACTAGTGAAGAAATGTATCTTTTGTAAAGTTTTCGAATGTGTAATAAGGAAGATCAATTGTTTAAATATAATTTGTAAGTCAATAATATTTTTGTTTATCAATTTGGTTTATCAATAAATCAAATAAAAAAGAAAAATCAAGAAATACAAACATATTTTAAGTCTTTTCTCCAAGAACAATTCTCATGGACAATTAAAAATGTAAAACTAGAGAGAGTCAGTAAACTGCTCAGCAAAGGCAGCGATGAATCTCCGGGACAGGAGGAGCAAGTCCAACTGTAGATTTAGAGGAATCTTATCCGGAAGAGGATCCCTCTCTATAAAGAGCCCTCCTCTCTATAGAGAGGAGGGCTCTTTATAGAGAAGAGGGCTCTTTATAGAGAGCCCTCCTCTCTATAGAGAGCCCTCTTCTCTATAAAGAGCCTTCCTCTCTATAGAGAGCCCTCTTCTCTATAAAGAGCCCTCCTCTCTATAGAGAGGAAGGCTCTCTATAGAGAAGAGGGCTCTCTATAGAGAGCCCTCCTCTCTATAGAGAGCCCTCTTCTCTATAAAGAGCCTTCCTCTCTATAGAGAGCCCTCTTCTCTATAAAGAGCCTTCCTCTCTATAAAGAGCCCTCTTCTCTATAAAGAGCCCTCCTCTCTATAAAGAGCCCTCCTCTCTATAGTGATGATTAGAATTAGATTAGAATCAGAGGATGAAACCCTCTGTACATCACATGGC